TATCTCAGACAGGATCGTGTACTGAAAAGGACCAGGTCTCTGGAGTCAGGGAGGTCAATGTTTGAGTCAAGGCTCTGCTCTCCGATCTTGAGTGAGTCAACTTAACTTTTCTGAATACCAGTTTTCCCCTCTGAAAAAATAAAGCAGAATAACACCTATCTCACACAAAGCTGCTGCAATGAATAAAAGTACTAAAACAAGTAGAGCACTAATAATCATAGTAGATGCTCAACCAGTGTTGATTCTAAGCTTTGCCCCTCTTCACACAAGCCTTGTCTCTCTTACTCTTTATTATATTAATTCAACAAACATTGGTTGTGCATCTGTTATGGGATTCACTCTGTGGAAGGTCATGGGGAGAATACAAAGATGAATGAGACAGTCCTGTCCCCAGGAAACAGCATTCTAGTATAATACATTGTTTCTCAACCTTGGCTGCACTTTAGAATTACCAGCGGAGCTGTAAAGAATGCCAATGTCCAGGCCACGCCCCAGGTCAGTTATATCAGAATCTCTAGGGGTGGCGCCTCAGTAAAAGTATTTCTAATTACCTATTCTCGTAGGTAACTCTAACATGCATCCAAGTTGAGAATCACTGTTCTACAGGTAATTCTAATGTGGAACCTAGAGTTATAAAGTCCAATTCTGTTTGATACTGCGGATTCAGGGCCAGTGGAATGGATAGGGCTCAGTCATGAAGTGTCTTATATATACATCATCTTATAGAACGTGGCTTTTATCTTAAAGATGTTGGGAAACCAATGAAAGAATGAGCTGATTAAGCTCTAGAATGATTCCTCTGGCATATGTGTGAAGGATGTTTGGCAGATGCTGTTCCACCCATATATTCCAATACCTTGGAATTTACCATTGTAGACTTGCTACCAACTGCCTGTTGGCATTCTCTGAGTGCTGGAACTGTATTCTTTCTCCGCTCCTGTGTACAGCAGACTAGAAGTATGGGATAATTAGGCAACTCACAGTTCCACTGCTGTAGCATCTACCTCTGACTTACACAGGATGTTGTTTAAATACCCTAGTTCCCACACCCCTTGGGTGGGATAAGTCTGAGACGTGTGGTCTGTTCTCTCTCCTAAAGTAGCAGAACTGAGCTGTGGTTGCCCACAGTGCTAACTAGCTTGATAATGTACCTTTATTGGGCTTCTTTCTCTTCACTGTCTCACTTCTGTACTTCTCCATCGCAGGGTTTCTCAGCGTGGGCGCTACTGGCATTCAGAGCTGACTAATACCTCACTGTTGTTGTGTGTGTGCCCAGGGGAGGGTGTCCTGTACCTTGTAGAATGCTTAGCAACATCCCTGATTTCTATCCACTAGAGTCCGTTGACCACCCCACCCCGCAAACTGTAACAACCAAAAATATCTCCATCTATTGCCGGATATCCCTGGGGGACTAAATTGTCGCTCCCTACCGGTTAAAACTACTGCCCTACTGATATGTCCTGCGACTTGCCTTTCAATCCTTGTCTCTGGATGTGCTTCTGAGGAACCTAAACTAAGAAAGAGGAGTTGAAGAGGGACACACCAGGGATATGGAGACGAATTGGGAGATAATCGTGTCAGTCTGAGACAGAGGGGATAATATCTGAACCTCGCGTGAGGCTGAGGTGGTAGAGTGGGAGAGATGCAAACGGGATACCAAGATAGACACCAGCTGGTGGAACTTGGAGCCTCAAAGAGTGAGGAGTGAGGAAGAAGAAGAAATGTAGCATGACCCTGGTGATGTCATTCAATGACGGGAATTCCAGAAGTAAGAGCGGGATTTTATAATAAAGTCTGGGGTGGTTTTTTAGGGGCTTTGTGAGAAGATGGAGGAGTTGGATTCCATGTTGTTTCTCAGCTAAGAGCCCTACTGTAATGTCGACATCCCCCTAACTCCCCGGGACAGAGGTCACTTTAGAGCAGTTGTTCTGAATCTTGGGATTCCCACTGGGATCACTTGAGAACTTTAACAGATTCTGATGCTTCAGACTCCACACTCAGAGTCCTTGATTGAGTTGGTCTGGGGTGTAGTCTCAGGATATTTAAAGCTCCCCAGGTGATCCCAATGTGTAGTCAAAAATCCAGTAAAAATTTTTTTTTTTTTTTTTTGCGGTACGCGGGCCTCTCACTGCTCTGGCCTCTCCCGTTGCAGAGCACAGGCTCCGGACGCGCAGGCTCAGCGGCCATGGCTCACGGGCCCAGCCGCTCCGCAGTATGTGAGATCCTCCCGGACCGGGGCACGAACCCGCGTCCCCTGCATCGGCAGGCGGACTCTCAACCACTGCGCCACCAGGGAAGCCCAAAAATCCAGTAACATTTAACAAGATTAGAGAAATTGCTTAGAGAGAGGATTTCTATCTCTCTCTCACACACACACCCACACCCACACACGTGCATGCACAAACACATACACACCCCTCAACATTTCATCTCATACTTTCCTACTACAAATACGGCCATGGTATTAAGTTTAACTTTATTAAAATGAGGCTAAAGATAATGCTTGAACGGTTAAAAGTATTGTATGAACCGTCTTCCTTTGTCCAGATACTTTTCTATGCACTTCTTATATTTGATCTCATTTAATCTTCACAAAAACCTTAGGAGTTAGTGCTATTATTGTATCCATTTTACTAATAGAGCAGCTGAGCCTCGGGGAGTTTGGTTTGCATAAAATCTGGTGTGTGGCACCAGGGCTGCCTCACTCTAGAGCCCAACCTGTCAACCATGGCACTAGATGGTTAGTCTAATTTCCTCATTTTGCCCCAAGTTTATTGGGAAATTAGCATGTGGATGAGAAGTTTGAGGGAGAAAATGCAGCATTTTAAAATCTAAGTGGTAACCAGGACCTTTTCTACAGGTCACACAAATCAGAAGGATTTGACCTGATCAGGATAGAAAATGACCATTACCTTCATAACTGTACAAACATACAAAAATATTTTTGCTCTCTCAAATTCAAAGTGGAGCACTTAACTCAGAGCTTATCTGAGAAAGACTGATGGTTTGGGTAGAGTTTCAGAATGCTTTAGGAGATTATGTTGTTTTATTTAGCTATCTTTTTAGTAGCTAAATTGAGGATTGTAATCGTTTATTTATTAAAATTTCTGTGTAAATTTGAGGAGGGGGATGCTAATCATCAAGGAAACACCTACCCTGTTTCTCTGACATGAGTTTCCAGGCATCTACACCATCCCATTATGCTCGTAAGTTTCCACTATCTTTTGATGTTTAGTTAATAAGGAGAATTATGAGAGAATACCTTCACTGGCATTTGACACTTTACTTTGAAGCACATGACACGTGGCCTGTTGACCTATTTCTCTGTGCTTCTTTATAGTATCTTTTTTTTTGCAAGGAGTGTGAAATACTTCACGCCTATTTATTTTATTTTTATTACATTTTGGGGGTGTTCAGAATGGACAGAAATATTTAATGATCTTTTTTTTCTTTTCTTTGCGGTATGCAGGCCTCTCACTGCTGTGGCCTCTCCCGTTGCGGCCATGGCCCACGGGCCCAGCCGCTCCGCGGCATGCGGGACCCTCCCGGACCGGGGCACGAACCCATATCCCCTGCATTGGCAGGCGGACTCTCAACCACTGTGCCACCAGGGAAGCCCTGGACAGAAATATTTGAGCTGTTTCAGATTTTCTTTTTATTGCACAGATGTTAGAAAAGAATTTACCAAGTGGTGTTCATCTTTTAAGATGAATTGGGAATTATGATTTTTATGCTACATTCTCTAAGCCTGGTGTCCGCATTTTTTTTTAATGGCACTCATTTGAGCAAATGGTGTGTTTAATGCCATTGTCTACTATCAGTACATTAGTTTGTGGACTGAGACTGCAAAGGCCAGGGGTCAGCAAACTTTTCCTATGAAAATGCCAGGTAGTAAATATTTCAGGCCTTACGGGCCGTACAGTGTCCGCTGCAGCTACTCAGCTCTGTTATAGCGTGAAAGCAGTCATAGGCAGTACGTAAATGAATAAGCATGCTGCTGGTGTTCCAATAGACCTTTGTTCACAAAAATAGAAGGTGGACCAGATTTGGCCTGCAGAGCTATAGTTTGCTGACCCCTGGCATGAAATCATACGAGAAAGGCTATAATCTTGGCTTCACAGTGTCAGGGTACTAATTCCACTCTTCATTTGTGTGTGCCCTTCAAAGGTGTCAGATGACAGTCTCTAAATAAGAGTGGTTAGTTTGTGTAAACACACACAGCTGGGCAAATCCTATTAGTTGGACCCCAAATGACTTCAACCACCTTGCCAGTCCTTGTTTACTAGGGTTCAGCCTCATCTCAGAAACTGGGAGAAACTTGACCTCAGTGAAGTTTGGGTGTGGCTTACTGCCCAACAGCAGTCTAAGGCCATCTGCTCATTCAGCAGGTACAAATGTGGCCTTTAAGGTGACCACGCTCAAAACATCACTAAGTCCTACCAGTCACTGATTTAATGCTAGTAAAAATAATGATTACTTTCTATTGAGCAATCTGTCCTTTTTCTCCTGTAAACCTCATGATGTAAGACACTCTGATCCCTTCACAGTTAAGGCCACTGAGACTTATTTTTCCCCAAATCACTCAACTAGTGAGTGGTGGAATTGGTACTCACACCCACATATTCTGAATGCAAACGTATATTCTTTTCACTTCGAAAGCCCCCTCCCCATGAACAACAGCTAATAGCGATGGAGTTTACAAGGTGGCTGGCGCTGCTTTAAGTGAACTCACTTATCCTTCCAACGGGCCTGTATCCTCTTGCCATCCCCATTTTCTCGATTAGGAAACTGAGGCACAGATGATGACCCAAATAACACATCTCAAGGCAATTCCTAGAGTCGGAAAGCATCACTCAGTCCAAGTGCAAACAGACTAGGCAGGAAATGCTTTCTTCATTTTCTGGTGTCAAAAGAGGAAGAAAAACCTTGGTGGTCTAGAGAAGCAGTTAAGCCCCAGCCTGGCTTTGTATTCTAACTGCATCCCTTCTTTCTCTACTCACCCTTTCACGTCAGTTCCTTTTGTGCTGATAAATTCCGACCTCCCTGGAGTCTTTGCTATGCCGCCAGGTGAATCTCACATCAAAGCCACACATTTTGGAGAAGCCTCACGTGGACAACAGCAGAGAATAGATCTGTCTCTGTCAAAACGTGAGACAAACCAATTACTTCTGCCTGTCCCTTTCCATTGTTCTGTTGAAAGCCACACAGCAGTGACACCAGAGCAGCCCAGGCAGCACTCCAGAGCCCAGGTATTCAGGACGTGCCAGGCAGATGGCATAAAAGGAGAAGGGGAAGAGAACTCTACAGGTCACCAGCCGGGTCAAGTCGCTTCAACTGTGAATGCAGAAGTACCTTTTCAAAATATCTCCATGGGGGATCTAGGCGTTTTCTTGTTTTTGCTGTTGTTAATAATAATGATGGTGGCATCAAATTCAGTCCCATCAAATTCTAATCCCTGCTGTGAAAGAAACTAGATGTCCTCTATATCCTCTTTCTCTTGGGGGATTGTGAGGGGACAGGAGTTAGCCATCATTTCTTTCTTCGCAAATTTTCTGCCATTCACCCCTCTTCCTTCACGTATTCTGAAGATCTTTCCATGCCTGAGGGTAACAGTTGCAAAACTTGGAAGTGCCAGAGTAACCGAGGCCACTTGTTGTGAACTAACCAATAACTAGACTAAGTGATAATTATAGCTTAGGTATCATGTCCATAGCATTGCTACCAGATTACAAGGCCAATATCAGATAAAATGCCACTACACAAAAACGTCTTTTAAGTGTTTATTTTTGAAACTTGTTACTTTAAAAAAGTCTTCAACATAGAGAAGAGCTGCTAAAATAGTACAGAGAGTTTCCAGATAAAGACCTTACCCAGCTCCCCCTAATGATTACATATTGCAGGGCCATAGTACAATGATTAAAACCGGGAAATTAACCTTGACACAGCACTATTCACCAAGCTACAGCTCTTTTGTGACTTTCTCCAATTTCCCCACTACTGTCCTTTTTCTGGTCCTGGATCTCACATTAGATTTAATTGTAGCTCCTTAGTCTCTGCCAATCTGTGCTGTGACACAGAATGAATGGTTAAGTAACGTGCCCAAGGTTATACACTTATTAAATGATATTGTTGAGGTTTTGAACACAGAGGTCCCCCTGTAAAAACCACTTAATCACTATATCATTGGCCTAAGTTTCCTTTTGGCCATTGACTGGACTGTAGCTGAGTAAAAAATAAACGTCTGATTTTTATGCCTTTGACAGTTTAAACATTTATTTGTTTCAGTAGCTGGCATTATATTAACTAACATATGGACCCTATATGAGTCCATGTAGTATAGAGTTATAATAGTAGGTAATAGTTTAGTGTAGTATAGGGTTACCTTAGTACTATACTATACTTGACACAAGAAAGCAACATAAGTGTACCTGTCCTTTAATTTAGGCCTTTGTTTTTTATATATCTTCATTTATCTTTGATTATTTTAAGGTTTAATCAAATGTTAAAAATATAACTAAAATAAATTTACTTTTCAAAATAAATAGGTATCACAAAATAGTTTTTTTTAACATCTTTATTGGAGTATAATTGCTTTACACTGGTGTGTTAGTTTCTGCTGTATAACAAAGTGAATCAGCTGTACATATACATATATCCCCATATCCCCTCCCTCCTGCATCTCCCTCCCTCCCACCCTCCCTATCCCACCCCTCTAGGTGGTCACAAAGCACAGAGCTGATCTCCCTGTGTTATGTGGCTGCTTCCCACTAGCTATCTATTTTACGTTTGGTCGTGTGTATATGTCCATGCCACTCTCTCACTTCGTCCCAGCTTACCCTTACCCCTCCGTGTGTCCTCAAGTCCATTCTCTATGTGTGCGTCTTCATTCCTGTCCTGCCCTAGGTTCTTCAGAACCATTTTTTTTTTTTAGATTCCGTAATTCAAAAAGAGTCATGTAGCACAATGTTCATTGCAGCTCTATTTACAATAGCCAGGACATGGAAGCAACCTAAGTGTCCGTCGACAGATGAATGGATAAAGAAGATGTGACACATGTATACCCTGGAATATTACTCAGCCGTGAAAAGAAATGAAATTGAGTTATTTGTAGTGAGGTGGATGGACCTAGAGACTATCATACAGAGTGAAGTAAGTCGGAAAGAGAAAAATACCGTATGCTAACACAAAACAGTTTTTTTTAAATGGTGGAGAGGGCGAGTAGAGGCTATGTATTAGGAAATCCAACATCCTTACAGTATTAGGACCTGTCAGTATTTCATAAAGTTTGGCAATCTCTACTTTAGCATATGGTTGATGCTAACGATTTTTAGACTTTCTTCTGTGTGTGTGTTTTTAAGTCTCATATCAAGACACTTGATAATTAAATTGCAAGTTGGAATCATTAATCAATAAAATGAAGTTAGAGCTAGGAAATTTGTGTGGGAGCTAATTAGAGCATAGCCTGTGGGATAAAATTTAATAAAAATTCAACTGTGGCATGTAGCAGCAAACAACCTTTTCCCAGCAGAAACACCTCGTAGAGCTGACTTCATTATTTCAAGCATCGCGTTTGGTCAAGGATTTGGAAAACAGCCCAGTCTGCTATAAAAGAACATTCTATCTGAGAAAATATCTGTACAACCGGATTTTGTTGTACAGATCCCACGGGCTAATGATGTGCCCTGTCAGGCTTCACTGTGGATAGACTGTGTGGTGTGCTGTATCCCTCCATACTCAGCAAATGGGTTAGGTGGGCTGGTGTGTAGGCACTGAAGACGCTGATGCAGGCTGGTGTCGGCAAGCTTATTTAGAATTGGATGAAAAGGCAGGAATGACTTCACTTGTCCTGGTGGCGCTGAACCTAACATAGAACCTGGCAGCTTTGGCTATTGTACTGCTGTAGCGACCATGAAGATACTCCTCTTAGATAGATCTTCAACTGCAGAGGGTGGTGGCCCCAGCTTCTGCTCTCTGAAATGCATCACCACATTTTATAAGAAGAGCTTCATTGCGTACTGCGTCTGTTTCATGATTCTCGTTTTTAAAAATCCCACTCACCATGTATGCCAAAGTTTCTGTTTGACATTTGGTTATTAATTTCCATTTTCCATGATACAAATCAGTTGTTCTTGCAAACTGATGCAACATTCGCATTTAAATATATTTTAATGGGTTTAAAAGCCAGTAAGCCTTTGCATTTAAATAGAGTTTTCAGTTTCGAATATTCAATTTCAAGGCTTTTCTGTATATATTTATGATAATATTTTTATAAATGATATACTTACATCATTTTTGGTAAGAAATTACGTAATGCTGGAAAATTTCCCAAACATTTATTTTGAAAATGCTCTCTTCGAAAAATGTTACTTTTGCAAACTTTGCTGAAATGTTAATATGTACCTTGGAGACACATAAATGCATTAATTTTGTTTCAGTCTAAGTAGCCAACTACTGACAGTCGCTTGTCCTTATGCAAAACTTCTCTTCTTTGCCAGAAAACTAGGAAACTAGCGTTCTTCTGAAAGAAAAATATTTAACTTATCTTTAAGTCAATAACTATTTTAAGTACTTTGCCACAAGATAGCCAGAAAATTCTGTAGCAACACAATGGAATGGTATACCATCTTGTTACAAGGCTTTCTAAAGAATCTACTGTGTAAAGGTCTTATAAAAGAAAACTTGATGACATCTTGTCATATGTGAATTGAAATGTCACAAAGTGCCAATGCTGGATGAAAGAGTGTCAATCCCTCCACATTCTGATGTCCCCCTCTTCCTTTGGGACATCTGATGGACTAATGTGACCATCTGACCTAAAATTGAGAGAACATGCCAGTGTCAGTATTTGTATAAAACGTTAGTGATGCTTTTCAGTTGTGGTAAGCTGGGGGGTTGGGTTTTACCACCCATGCAGGGACTGGACACAAGGTCTTCAGTTGATGCAAGGCAGATAATAGGAACCAAGATCCTTGCAAAAAGCCAAGATTCTTAACGTGCTGCATATACAGGGCAAGAGTTGAAAAGTTTCATCCATTAGTATAATAAGGCAGCAACAAAACTTTTCTACCCATGAATGGGCTTTGGGTAGAAATAAAAATGGACTCCTTTTAGGTTTTATCATTATGGATGTGTGTTTCACGTGATTTAGGGTTAGACTTTAAGCTATTCTTCTGGATCAGGAATGCTTGAGCTGGAAATTGACACAGAGCTTGAGTCCAAGCTAGTGATAAACTTAAGGTATCAGGAAGCAAATATAAAATTTCTCTGGCTGGTGTTGCCCTCCCCCGCTAAGCAATAGGGGCTTCTAACAGATAAGGCAACCGTGATCGTGAGCTTGCAGTTGTGTAGAACGTTCTGCAGTTGGCCCTGCAGATCCTTGTTCCATCCTTCTCCACTCTGCTTTGCTCCCCCAGCAGATCGACCTGTATATACTGAATCACCGGGGCTTCCCGGCTTTTCTTTCTTTTTTTTTTTTTTATTGAAGTGTAGTTGATTTGCAATGTTTTATTAGTTTCAGGTGTACAACACAGTGATTCAATATTTTTATACATTATACTCCATTTCAAGCTATTACAAAATGATGGCTATATTTCCCCGTACTGTTTAATATAACCTTGTAGTCTACTTATTTTATACGTAGTAGTTTGTACCTCTTTTTTCCCTACCCCTATATTTACCCTCCCTACTGGTAACCACTAATTCATTCTCTGTATCTGTGAATCTGTTTCTGTTTTGTTATATTCATCTCTGTGTTTTATTTTTTAGATTCCGCATATAAGTCATAACATACAGTATTTGTCTTTCTCTGTGTGACGTATTTCACTTAGCATAATGGCCTCTAGGTCCTCCATGTTGCTGCAAATGGCAAAATTTCATTCTTTTTTATGGCTAAGTAGTATTCCATTGTATATACGTACCACATCTTCTTTATCCATTCATCTGTTGTTGGACACTTAGGTTGTTTCCATGTCTTAGCTATTGTAAATAGTGCTGCTATGAACATTGGGGTGCATGTATCTTTTAGAATTAACGTTTTCATTTTCTTCAGATACATACCCTGAAGTGGAACTGTTGGATCATATGGTAGTTCTATTTTTAGTTTTTTGAGGAACCTCCATGCTGTTTAC